TATGGTTTCATAACAAATCGGAGTTGTGAAAATGGAGGAATTATGTTTCAAAGTATAGTTTAATAGACTAAATATTTGATATTTATAATATACTTTACTTCAGCAATCTCTTACTAATGTTAACGTATCATTCGAGGATGATATTTATTTGATTATTACCGTATCTTTCATACTAAAATTTTAATTCTGGGTCCATTGTTGTACATATGGTCAAACCTTTCAAGCCAGGCAGCCATTAAAGTGTTCATGTAAAGACACATTGCTGCATTTTCAATCACAAAAAGAAGTTGTATTCTTTCTGCATCAATAAGAGAAACCTATGGAATACAAGTTTGATCAGTGACTAGATATGTTACGCAAACCTTTATTGCTTAAGAATTTGTTCCTCAGTCAACTGTGAATTCGGTCGTTAATGAAGACTATATTATATATGTGATTTTCTGATGTGATCCACATCGGTTAAATTGGAAAATTGTAAAATACGCGGTATTACTTTGTTATGATGAACTTCCGCATTTTGCCCTTTTGTTCGAATTTACTGCACTATACTTTTTGTTTTATTTAATACATTGTTACAAATAGAAGATATAGTTGTATTTAACTCTAAAGCATTTTTGACACATTTCGAGGGTTAATTTTTCATAGCGGGATGATTTTTTCTATACCCCTTTCTCGATAAATTCACCTATTAGAATAGTTAGGATAGTTTGGATTCTTTAGTACAAATTTGAGTTATTTTCCACTATAATTTGAAGATATTACTTTTGTTACTCTATGCTATGATCTCATCACTAACAACGTACATATTATTTTCGACATACAGTGTGAGGGGATGAGACTTAATGAGGTAACGTGCGTACATTGCCAGATAATGTCTTTTGTGAAAACTACTATTTTCGACTATTAAAAACCAGTCGATACTAAAAGTTTCAAAGATATGAAGATCATCGACAAAAATCCCAACCTAAACAGAATTAATATGTTTTAATGAAATTATTCCGTGTTGATTTCTCCCACGGTCAAACGTTATCCCGATCGCTCTCTCGCAGATCAGCGAACGGCTCCACCGACGTGGAAAAGCGGGTCCTGCAGCAGCTGCACGCCCTGCAGCCGCCGCTGCTGCACCTGCGCAAGGAGCTGGTGCGCGTGTGCCGCGGCGCGGGCACGCTCGCCACCGTGGAACAGCTGCAGCAGCTGCAGCCGGAGATCGCCGGGCTGGCGCAGCCGCTGCAGCAGCTGGAGGAAGGCGTGGACAAGCTGGAGCGCCAGCTCATCCACCTGAGCCAATCGGCCGAGGGCGTTGGGGGCTCGGAGGGCCCCGCCGAGGCCGCGCTGCAGGCGCTCATGCAGCCGGTACACCAGGTGCAGGACGGCGTGCGCGCCGCGCAGAGGGGCGCCCTGCTGCAGCTGCAGGCTCCGCAGGTGAGGCCGCGCCTCCGCGCCCTTCCTGCCGGGAGATGATGCCACCGCAGTCCCTCTGACCGGGGGAATCTAGGTTCGAGCCCCGACGGGGGCGGGAATTTCGACACTAGCTTTTCAGCTAGGTCGAATTGAGTCGCTGTCTCGAGGAGAATTCTAGAAACTGGCTGCTCTGATCGGTAGTCTTCCGTGGTACGGTATACACCACGCGAATGCCGAAGCAGTACCCTAACAAAACGTGCCACGGGCGCGCGCGATCTTTCCTTCCTCTTCCTTGCCTCTTCCCACCCCTTACACACATTTAAACTAGCATACACTACAGTACCACACCTGCTGGGAGACCGGTCGGTAGCTTAGATCTTGCCCCGGTTGGGGCGGTGCGCCGATGGTGGGAGATACCTCAGTTAGGGATAACCTCATTAGCCGACGGTAGGTCGGCGCCGGATATCGCCGTACAGCGGGGAAGACCATCGCTCCCTCCCCGAGTAAAATCATACACTACATTTACGGGACTAATGACCTTAGTAGCTGACGTGTCCGGAATTACTAACAACCAATTAATCGGCCTTCCTCCATCTTCCCCTCCCTTTTTGCTTCCCCTTTTCATTATTTTTTTCTTCTGCTCGCACACAAATTGGTTTTCTAAAAGTGTAGCACGCACACTGCTTAAAAACAACAAATAAATTACTCAACATAAAATACATTTGAATAAATTGAAAATATTTCTTCTTCGATTCATTCTATCTTCTTTGTCATTCTATTTGTACCCAATGCACTCGTACAGTTTTATTTCGAGCGGCGTAATTTACTTCGCAGTCACAAAGTGTTTTATGTAAACTTCGGCTGTTTTGTGATTTATCTTGATGAAATTTTTCTTGTAAGAAAATACCTTTTTCTAAATATATTTCTTCACTTTAATAAAAATGACTATATTGAAGTGGTGACATTTGTCTTGTGCAGCGACGATTTCTGGAATGAATTCTTTGTCCCATCTAAAAGGTAGGATCTACTGAACAAAATATCAATGACAAATTTGTATTCACACACCGAGTTTTTCATATTTTTGCAAAATAATCGGCTTGTAAAATTTGTGTCTGAAGTAGAATGTGAACTAACGTCCTCAGAAAGACCGAGAATTCGGGGTATTGGTGACCAGGCTAAAGGTTCCTTGAGTCTGGCCTTTTACTCTCCTCATTTGGTCTGTTTCTTTTGTCTGGCTCAATAGTCTGACCTTTGAGTCTAGCCGTCAAGTCTGGCACTTGAATCTGATAGGTCGTTTTAGACCGCTTGACTATTCTCGCAGGTACATATGAGCACTATGTGTCTGTGATTATCCCATCGACTTGTGTTGTTCATTAAAAAACATTTCATCTACAACCAATTCTAATTCGTTAAAAATTTTCAAATATTGATAAGGATTACATAACGTCCAAAAGGGTTTTCACAATGAACTGAAATTGCTTAAAATCGTATAGAATCGAAAATCGTTTTTAAATTTTAAAGTTCCATTCATCGGGAATATTTGTAATTCGCCTAATTGATTTTACCCTGTTAATTTTACATTCAATATTTCCCCAATTAAATATACTTACATTCGTGATATATAAACAATGACTACTTTCATGACTTTTAACTCTTAATTTATATTCTAAATTCTAGGAATTAATAGTTTCTTATTTGTCTTAATTAATTAGTAAATGTACGTATACCAGAACCTAACTTTCCAGCAAATTCATTACAATTCAAAGACTATTTTATTAGTACGAAATAATATTATTACATTAAGTGTTGTAAGAAGTCAAGAGATTCGAAGTAATCGTGAACGTCTGTGCATTGCAACACTAAACAGTGCAGAATTCTTTCCGTACCAAGTTCGGAGCGATGAGGCATTATTTATTAGGTCTATTTAACACAATTCTGTCTTTTCCAAAAAAAGTTTTTTTAACAATGATGTATGATCTGATGATTTTTCGTGGTTCTATGTCATGAATGTTTCATTACTTAAAACACCAAACGCCTTCTGTTTTGACGGTTGTGGAATTTACAGGGCAGGTAACAGACTTGATTTGTACGTATTGTTTTACCGATTTTACAAATTTACGCATGTTATAGTCGATAAAAAGCATTTTTAAGGAGATTGACTGGGAGGTCCTAGATTCGAGGTGCGTCCTGGCCGACACTAGGTAAATTAGGTTCAGCCGCTGTCTGGAGGGGAATTCTTGCGGCCGGCTGCTCTCATCGGTAGTTTTCCGGGGTTTCTCCTATCAACACCCATTGATTCGGAAGAGGTACCACGGACTTCGTGCGATCTTTTCTTCCTCTTCTTTCTCCTAACCTCACCTTTACTTTCAACACACATAAATGCACTACACAACCACGTGCAGAGAGACCAATCTGTATCCTAGAGCTTGCCCGGGCTGGGGCGATGCCCCACTATGTGCGAGATACCTGTTCGGGAGAATCCCGCAAGCCGACGAGTATCAACCTAACCAGTGGGGGAGATCACCGCCCCCAGCCGCGATAAAATTACTTACGGCACTAAGAAGAGCGAGCAGAGGATGCGCCCAGCAACCCTGACGCTGCGCTTGCAGGCGGCGGCGCTGGGGGCGCTGGGCCGCGCGCTGGACGCGCTGGCGGCCGGCCTGGAGGAGGCGCACATCTCGGCGTCGGAGCGGCCGGGGCTGCTGGTGCTGCAGGGCGTGCGGCGCGGCGTGGCCGGGCTGGAGGCTGGCGTGCACACGTTGCAGGCCGCGGGCGCCGAGCGCAAGGCGGCGCCCGCCACCGCCGCCGCCGTCGCGGCCGTCGCCGCCCTGACGGCGCCGCTGCACGAGCTGAACGAGCGGCTGGCCAGCGTGCAGGAGCAGGCCACCATCCAGGCCGGCAAGGAGACGGTGAGGCATTTGCATGCAATTCACGCTTATTGGTGTACGAACGTCGCAAAGTATCATCGGTTTGTAACATGAGGAAAAGAGCACTGTATCCTCGAATTAAAGATCGAATTTCAAAACTACTTTTATTCCGAGATGTGAACAATTCACATAAATTGTATAAGTATATAATTTAGTTGCACGATGCACGATGTTGTTGAGTTGCTAGTTGTGATAGAGCCTGTGGGTGGGAGGTTGCTATGTTGTTAGGAACTCTTGAAAATGAAATCTAAAGTTTGTTTACCGATGCAAATAAATTATCTATCAGGAGCGTACATTTACAGTTTTCAAATGTGGCTAACAACGCATTATTGGTAATTTTATTCATTATTCACCTATGTGTAGTAGTGGAAGGGCGGGGTAGTTATTCTAGAGATCAGTAAATGTGCTCCGATTATATATCTCGGCCATGCATCGCATCAGTTTTTTTCTAATTTTTAACGATGAAAGGAATAAATAAGAAATTAAATAAATAAAAATTAATTTTTTATTAGTATTATAAATTATTTATTTATTATGGCTAGCTTTTGACACATTTCTATTTCACTAAGCTTTAAAATAATAAATATAGAATATCTCGCTTACGTACGCCGACAAAGGTAGCCATTGGAATGGCCGCAGGTGTCGGAAATCATCGCCGTGTCGTCGCTGAAGACGCTGGCGGAGCCCCTGCGCCGGCTGCAGCGCCAGGTGGAGAGCGCGGCGCGCCAGGCGGCGGCCGGCGCGGGCCCGGCGCTCGCCACCCTCGAGGAGCCCGTGCGCGAACTGCAGCAGCGCATCGCCGCCGTGCAGCACCGGGCTGTGCTGGAGTCGGGCGTGGTGACGGACGCGGCGGCGCCGTCCGTGCTGGAGACGCTGTTCCCACCGCTGCAGCAGCTGCAGCGTGGCCTGGCCGCCGTGGAGACGCAGCTGACGCCCGCCCCGGCCGCGCCCGGCCCCGGCAGCGCCGTGCTGCGCGCCGTCGCCAGCTCCCTCCAGCAGCTGCAGGAGACTACGGCGGCGCTGCAGGTGCCGGCTGCGCCCGACGCGCGGGCCACCGCCCTTGACGTGGCGCAGAAGCTGCACTCGCCGCTGCTGGCGCTGCAGCGGGGGCTGGGCCAGGTGGAGCAGCAGGTGAGTGGCGCGGGGCGCTCTAGAGTACACCGGAGACAACACTCTGTATTCAGAAATAGTGACGATGTGCCATGATCTCAGAACCAAATAGATGGAATTTGCGTCTTATTTCAATTTACAATATTTATTCTCTCTTATGTTCCCTAAAACTTTATAAAACGTTGAAAGTAACCAATATTAAATACTTTGAATTTGCAATTTACCTACAATATTTTCACAAAATCCAGTCGTTCATTTCGTTGAGTCTCTTTTTTTTCGCAGGGGTCTGTTCTTGATTTGATATTTTTATTATTTTTGTTAAATGAACTTACAGAAAATAATAGTTGTCAGAAAACTAAATAAAAATAATAGTAGTAAAATAAAAGTGAAGGCTCCCAAAAAGTATCTCATCTAATAGCATTCGCATCTACTTTACTGGTTGTTGGCGTACTATACAACCGAATGCTACGCATTACTTTGTCATTTCCGTTGTCAGGGACGATTGTAAGTTTCACTAACAAGACACATTTAATTCGTAAGAAAGTGTTCAGCACCCAACCTACTGAAAAACGATCTTCACGATTTTCAGCAGTTGAAAGCACGCAGATGTGCATCCAGTTGTAATGTAGAGATCACTGACCCCTTCACGGTGACTCTGAAATTCCTTGTCGATACTTCATCCGGTCAACCTTCGTATTTGTCGACGTATCTTGCAACCTCCATATTTTCATGCTCCGAAAATCGTTATACTTATCCGATTCCGAAGAATATCAAGAATATTTCAATCTATGCCAGCTGTACCGCAAGTACAGAAAATTAATTATATATATGGTATGCTTCCAAATTTAAAATATTTTACAAAATTTCTGAAAATTTGGTAACATTTTCAAAATATTGTTGAAGTCTGTATTTCATATATAAAATATTCTTCCAATTATACTGCCAAGATTCGTTGCCACCCGGCTGAATCCTCACATTAGTGTTACGTAAAAATCAGAAAAGTATCGGTAGTGACTTCAAATTTAACAAAATACATAAAAAATTAAAATAAAATGCTACATTTACCTTCTTGAAGCAAAGAATGAGACCATTTCTGCATTTCGTAAGTGAATCAGGAAATAAAACAGTTGATATTGGCCTACAAGATTTAAACAGCATTCTGTGATGCATAGATTTTATAAACGATAAAAAATGGCTACCCACGCCCTCATAGAGGACCAGAATTCTCAGGACCCGATAGAACAACCGAGATTTTCCTTGCGTCTGGCGCCATACACTACCGAGACATCCTGGTGTGGTTTGCGTTGTTCCATATATTAGCATTTGCATATTACCCGTTTGATACATTGTACAATATAATTGCCTTCATTTCTGCTTACAACAAAAAATGATTGTCAGTAGTGGGATTCGAAGCCGCGCCTTCATAGAGTACCAGAAAAAAGCAGGCGGCGCGGGCAAGACTTACCTGGCGTCTGACGCCATAAACCGCTCCGCCATCCTGACAGTTCATGATTCTCAGAATATCTCACCTCAACATATTTTCGCCTTGCTGAGAGTTAAGGTAGATACAATTGTACCAGGATGGGGATTCGAACCCACGCCCTTAAAGAGGACCAGAATGCTCCGAAGCCCGGATTGCGGGAAAGGTTCCTGTGTCTGGCGTCTTACATTGCACGGCCAACCTGACAGCAGCGATCACGCTTCTCAGAATATCTCTTAAAATAAGATTTTCCCCTTGCGGATAGTCAATATAAATAAAATTGCGCCAGAAGTGCAATTCGAACCCACGTCTTCATAGAGAATTCGGATGCCTGGGACTTTTATTGTGTTTAGCGACTGCACGACCATCCTGTTGTTACGTATATCGGCAATAGCTTCCAAGGAAAAAGTATTTTCCAGGAGCGGAATTTGAACTATGCTTCTATAAATAGCCAAAATTCTCACGACCGGGTAGGACAGAGGAGGCTTCCCGTGTGTCTGGCGCCTTAGAACGATCGGCCATACTGACGACTATAGTCTTGTTTCGTTTATCGGAATTTGCGTATTAACCGTTTACTAATGTGTTCAATATGTTTGTAACGATTTCTGACACTACCAACTTGAAATGCCGAGTACGAATTTTCCAAATCTTGACTTCAAAAATTAGAATTACATGGACATTTTTTGTAGCGGCTTGTAAAGGAATTTCAAGGGGAAGATATGTTTGTTTGAAATATTTAATAATTCAAATTGATCAATGTCAATATCAAGAGAATTGACTGTATAATTTTTTAACAAAACGTGAATTGAAAGTTTTGAAAAAATACTAAATAATTCATTTGGTTGCTAACATTGAATGCCAAAGCAAGTGTATCCTCGTGTGGAAAAATCACATATTTCTTCACATTGAGTTTGATATAAAACATCGTACGTCACTTGGAATACAACCATTTCCACTTGCATTCTTTCAGGTCCTACAGGAAACGTCTCGCCTTCCCCAGTCGGAGGTTGAAAGCCTGTCAGCCTTGGAGAAGATCGTGGCTCCGCTCCAGCAGCTGGAGGCGGGCCTCGCCCAGCTCCAGCGGCAGCAGGCGAAGATGGGCGGCGAGCGCGCGCGCAGCCCCGAAGTGCGGCGCGCGCTCCTCGCGTCGCTGGAGCAGCTGTCGCAGCCGGTCCAGGAGCTGCGCCGGGAGATGAGCGCGCTGAACGCGCGCGCGGGCCGCGAGGCCGAGGTCGCCTATGGCAAGGCCAACGTGACGGCCCTGCACCTCCTGCAGGCGCCTCTGCAAGCGTTCGCGCACGGCCTGGAGGATCTGGAGCGAGTGAAGAGCGGCGTCGTGCGCGAGGAGGAGACGGCCCAGCGGCTGGGCACGCTGCACAAGGTTAAGGAGAGCGTGCGCACCCTGCACGTCAAAGTGGCGGCGATAGAGCAGTGCACGAAGACCGAAGCGGCGAAGGAGAAGGCTGGAGTTGAGGTCTTAGGAGGCCTTAGATCGCCTTTGGCGGAACTCACGCACGGGCTCAAGTTTGTGGAGGATCAGATCGTCACCACTGCCCTAGAGGAAGCTCTTCCAGATATTTCCACAATTGCCGCGATCGGAGGACTAGCGAATCCCATCGAGAGCTTGAAATCGGGCTTGGAAGCCGTCGAAACGCTTACATTGGAACAGCTGGACGAACCAAAAGCTAAAAAGGCTCGAGCTGCCGCTGGTAAAGTGATCACCCAGGCCGTTCAAGAACTGAAGAAAGAAATCGCTGTCGTGCAACAGCAAGCTGTACTAGAATCGGGTGCACTATCCATATCGGAGGCACCGTCAGTTCTAGAAGTGCTATTTAAGCCGCTACAGAAACTTCAACGCTGTCTCGTAACCGTCGAGGAGAGCAAATTGACTGCACTTCAGAGAGCAAAGACAATCGAGGTTGGTGCTGTTCTAGCCTTAGAAGATGTCGCGCAGGCAGCACAGGACCTCACCACTAACATTGACGAGTCTCTGCAAAAGATGGAAGCGACCGCAACCGGGGTGAGCCAGCAGCCGAAGGCGCAAGTCGTCGTGTCGTCCGCGCTGGCGATTCTCGCGGAGCCTCTCATAGAACTCCGAAAAGAACTGCAGGTGCGTGTCTCAACTCATAGTACTTTCCGTCGATCGGCCTGGGTAGCCGAGGTCGCAAAGGCTGAAAAGTCGTTGCTGCCTCGTGCCTGAAGGGTCGCGGGTTCGCATCCCGCTCGGGGCATGGATGTTTGTGTGCCTGTATGTTTGTAATTGCCCATTTATCAACAACATCACCGTTGCATACTTCATCCCCGGAGGGATGAGGGGGGATATAACATGTAGTGTAAAAATGGATTCAGCGTAGAAACGCTGATTTCCCCCAAAAAGTCACGTGCGCTTTTCCCCGGGAAAATATGATTGGGCTCCGGTGGGTAAAGTTGCACGTTTGCGTGGTGCAAGATGACCGAATCGCGAGCATCAAAAATATTCCATCCTTCTTCCGTTTGCCTGAGGCGACTGAGTAAGTAATTCAGTAAGGCGTCGCATCTTCCCAACCTTCGATTGAGTGTTACTATTACAAAGACTGGGCTTTCCTTTTGCGACGGTCGATACAAGTTGTGTCGGTTGTTAGTTTAGTAAAGTATGACCTCAGTATTCCTCGTTAGGCCGCCAAATCCTATTCGTAATAGGTTTGTCACCTGAAGCTTAAGAAAGTTAAAAAAAATTTCTACACTATCGCAGTCGCGCTTGTTACTTTATTTCACGTCAGCCACGTAGTCGCACGTGTATTCCAAGTACTTCGTTGTTCTTTGGAAAATGCTGATAACTCGGCTAGAGAATAGTCGTGAATTTCAGTTGTAAAAATGCAAAGCTATTGAGTAGCGCCTTGCGGTGCCTGGCCCATCAGCCCTCGGCGGACAGTTATTTATGGTCCCGCCGTCCCTCGGGCTCCGTCTTGCTCTGCGCTTTGCGCCAAGCCTCGCGAAGACTTAGCTGATCATCTGAATACGCTGGGTTCTGACGAAACGTACCGCATTCTATTATGCTATACAACACTTTAAACATATATTTTATTTATTATGTTTTAAATGAAAGTAAATCTTCAAACAAATACAAATATTCCTTCTTTTTAATTTAAGTTTATAAAATAATGTACAAAGTTTTACCAATTTTTAAAGACGATAGTTTGTTTAAATTGAGGAATGGGAGGTCGACATGGAGCGTTCATTTCAAGATATTTATGTTACAAATCATCCCAAACGGAGGGGTGTGTTTCAAGAAAGTCAGTTGTGCGAGCGTCTTTGGATCGGCCTGCAGGCGGCCGAGCTGAACGTGGCGCAGAGCGGGTCGGCCGGCGCCGCCGTGGCGACGCTGGCCGCCGTGCACGAGCTGGCGCGGCCGCTCCGGGCCCTGGCCACGTCGGTGCAGAGCGAGGCGCCGCCGCAGGACACGCTGCAGCTGCTGCACGCTCTGGAGACCGACACGCAGCTGGCGACGGCGCGCGTCGCCGACGCGCCCGCGCCCGCGCTCGCCGCCCTGCACCAGCCGCTCAGCGTGCTGCGCCAGCACGTGAGTACACCCGAAGAAGGGGCACGTGTGGGGCTACGGTTAGTCCGTCACAAGCGGCTCCGTAGTTGCTCATACCTACCGTCACAAGCGGCTCGTGAACGGATGTGCAGGGTAGGCAAATCAGAGATTACAGAGCAACGGCAGGTCCAGGGAGTAGCCTGGGTGCCTTTTTAGTTTTGCACTCTGTGGTGGAAAGAAACGCCACTGCCCGACCTGCTACCTGTCGCCTAGCATTGGGAGCTCGATCGCTCTCGGCTGCCGGCTACCTAAAGTCGCTACCGCTCACCCTCACTCCCATCACAACGAACTTCTTTTCCCAAGTCAACCTTTCTCACGCTCAGAGTTGGCTCCTTAGCATTGTTTATTAAAAACCTAACTGACAATAATAAACGTTTTGTATGGGTGAATTTGAGTGTGTTAGCATGTCTTCATATGTGTTTACGCCGTGTGAATGCAGATAGCGGAGGCGCAGGCGTTGATGGCCC